TTATCTACAAAGAACAGCAATGAGTTTCACTTGACATTGCTTCTGGTCAGATCAGCTGAAGTTTACAGGAAACGGCATGAATCGTTTCAAGCTAACGCATCCACGAGCTCCCATTTTTTCTCATTTGTAACAGCCCTGTACATATCCGTATTGAACAGCTAGGAGACACCACGCTAATGGTCTGTTCTTTAGTGTGGGTGTCAGTTGCTAATCTGAAGCTACTTTCTGTTTTTATTTCTCTCTTTTCATCCCTGGCAAGACGATTGCCTCCTTTAGCTCTGTAGGATGACCTTCAATCGGCAATTGTATGGGATAACCGTACCTCAATCTTCATTAGGAACAACAGGCCAAGACAGTTGATGTATGTAAGGTCAGTCTAATCGTTCACAGGGACGGTGGGGTAGCCTAATTGTTCAAGCGTTCGTTCGTCTTGAAAAAGACCAGGGTTCGATTCCCCAAATGGGCACAATGTGTGAATCTCATTTCTCCTGATGCCCCCCGCCGTAATATTGCTGGATTATTGCCAAAAGCGACGTAAAACTAAACTCACTTAGTCATCTTGCACAACTAATGCTTGTTTTGGCGCGTCCTTGCCAAGGTGACGCAAAACATGTGGAAGCGAGGGCCCCGCGACTTCAGACATCACCTTACGGCACGTGGTTATCCCTATGAGCTGTGCTCGACTCAGCCAGACATCACCACGTTGTACAGTGCCTAAAGTGTGCAAAATGCCAATCGTTCACCATTTCATGTTCACAAAATAACATTTCGATGTAAAACCAATTTGTGTGGTCTGGACAGAATTTTCCCTAATTTTGTTGAAACTTATGCCGATGAAAAATGTGTTAACTTGGATTGCGTTACTCGCAATAGACGCCTGACACCCCGCAAACCTCACAGAGCCATAGGAAAAACAGCCCGCAGACGACATTATGGAGAGCAGACGACAATTTACAGCTTTTCGTCCCAAACGTGCAAGACATCAACTCTGAGCTGGGAAACCAGGATGGTCGCAGAAAAACGGAAGGAAAAGAAAGGGGTTTATGTTTCAGCATTGAATAGCATAATAAGTGTGATTGTAAAAGGTGGGTGGGTTTGATTATTCGCAGAAACCTTCCCATTGCACCACATTTGTTCAGTTCGAGAAAAGGTTACATGTAATCAAAATGTCATCCTGTGTCAATAAACCAGAGGGTTTAAATGTGGGACCGCGTGTCTGTTACATGGCATTATATTTGTGAAACAATTTCTGGCCACTTGGCAAGATAAATGCAGGGTAAAATATACCATTACATAATAACCAACAGTAAATGTGTAAGTAATGGATGTCAGTCCTTGGTACTATTGTGCCGCTTTCCATGGTAGTTGACAATTCTACATCCGTTATTAAAAATAAAATACAATGTGCACGAACTAATATCGGTTGTAGCGGCTAAAATAACAAATGTTTCATTACGAACATTCATGACAGTAATGGCTGTTGGTGAAACACGACACCGGATATAATAGGTTTTTGATCTAAGCAGTGGCCCAATCAGTATATTTCTGTAACATTAGCCAGGGGGTAATACAGTATTGAGCATGTGTGATAACATTTCACATCACACTTCTGACTTTACAGGCTATACAAACTGAAATATGTGTTTCTGATCTCTAATTCCAAAAGATTTATTTGGGGGAGTAACCTCATATTCATGAAGAAATAGCTGCTGCACATTTAGTGACATGTACCCCATCTTGTTATTTGTGGGCTTGGGAATAATGGGTTAGGAGGAAAACTTTTGAATCTGAAACTGATATCATTATCCACCAAAACATTGCACACTTTTAAAACAATACATTTTGGTCAATAAAGCTGGAAATGAGAACTGGAACTGTATTTGCTGAATTAGTCTTCATCGTATAGTTGTTATCCCTTTAGGTCACTAATGCAGGTCCTTGTATCCTGCTGGACACATGGGTCTGTAGGAGATGGTCCCTGTATCAAATGCGTTTGGGCTGACAAGATGGGGCAGATCATCTTCTGTTTGGCCAACACTTGCCTGATGCAGTAAGACTTAAAGTATATTGCATCTGAACTGGCTTAAAAAGTAAACAATTTAACAGTTCTTCTTGTATGTGCTACTTGCAGAAACAAGGCCATGTTTATCAGACTGTCAACAGATCAATAGGATCAAAATCCAAACTGGTGTAAAAGAGTAACTGACCTTGACTTTTGACATGACGTGACCTTGGACATGAGTGACATTAAGATTTTAACCATTTCACTGATTGAAAAGTGTTTTGTTGTTTCATTAATTTAACCAATAGTCTAGATTTGACTTAGACCTCAACTATTAGTTTGCTGAACTGGACTCTTACATCTCCCTGAAGAGATCATATGTATGAAGTTTGGTCAAGGTGTAGTGGCACAAGTTACAATGGCTGTTTTCATGATGGACCTTGACTAAATGTCAGTCTGTACTAGTAGTAACAAACATGAGGTTACTGTAGCTTGTTGGCAATACTTCAACACACACTTTTCATTTCATAACCTACTGTTTGATGTTTATCATTGTAGCTAACAATATTTATGATTTGCTCAGGAGTTCAAGGTAATTTTCCAGAGGTTGTGCAGAGCTTCAATTGCTGCCTGACACACACCTGAAATATTCCTCAGTCACAACGTCTGAGGATAATGAAGGGTTATGGCAAGTTCAAAGGTTTCAAGCAGCCCCTTGTTCATCTTCATACCTTCTTTTCTGGCAACACTAGATTGTTAGGGTAAGGTCTTCTTTTAGTCTTAGACATGGCATTGTCTGGTTGACATTTATGACTGAATTTTGTCCCAGTGTGCCTTTGGTGATGTCATTGAGGCCTTGTTTAGTGTTCTGGAGGCAGTTCTTGTTCCAAGCACCACCAGTTAAGTATTCCAAGAAATTCTTCAGAAGGCTGTGGACAGTCATGAGGATGTTTGTAGCAAGGGCTGTAATGAAGGGTGCTCAAGGGTACCTTTAAGCCTGTACCTTAATTGACCATCCATATGGCATTCAAAACAATGGTAGCAAGTACAGTGTATCCTCGTCATGACCACCCCCATCTGATGAAGTTGAAAATCTTATTTATACTGAGAAATATTTGGGGGATGTTCATTTTGCCTGAAAAATGAGCATGCATTTTCATAAACATTTCCCCTAAAATACTTGTGACCTGTAATTTTTTTTCCAGATTGTTTCAGGAAATGATTAATTTTTATTAAAACATAGTTCACTCTTGGATTTGCTGCAACAAATATTCTGTATCTCCTCAGAATCTGTGATTGTTAAGCAGAACCAACATCGATCTGTTGAATTCCCTTTTCAGCACACTAATCCATTCTCTTTCTAAAATCACAAAAATGACAAAACTCTTCAGTAAATAAATAATTATTTATTTTGACTCTTCATAAGAAATACATTCATTGTCAAAACACCAATGTTACTCTTCGGAAATTCTCCCATGTGGCACATACAATGTAAATCACAAAACATGTATGAATCATATACAAGAATATAACAGTGCAATCATGAGCAGAGTCCAGTGAAAAATGGACCACCATATATGTGATGCTACAAACCCCCAATATATCATCATCCCATGACAACACGGAATCCTACAACACTACATCAACCTTTTGTCACCCTATTATACTAAGTAATGTCCCTCCACGTCTCAATGTGAACTTTAACAAATCGATGACTTAAATGGCTATGTGTTACACATTTGAAGGAAAGGAAAAGAAAGTTTATTATTCAGAAATTATACACCTACAAATCATGGCTATGGACACCAGTTACTTCTAACTTTCCAAGAGTGAGTAAGAGAGTATGATTTTACGCCGCTTTTATCAATATTCCAACTACAATGTATGTCACAGCACGAGACACCTGAAATGGACTCAATGGCACCATGTGGGGAATCAAAACATGGAACTTCAGTATGATGAGCAAATGCTTTATCTACAAGGCTACCCCACTGCCCAAACTTTTCCACAAAGAGTGTTGAATAGGCATTCAAATTAACATGTGATGATAAAAACACTTCAGGTAAAATAATCCTTGATATTTGGCACAATTTCTAACTTCCTGTACATGGAATTCAGTTCAGGAAAATGTACAATTCCACTGACTCATCTAGAATTACTCTAACGACATATACAAAAACTATTGCTCATTCAGTCTATTGAACATCACCAATGTGTAGTAACACTTCCAAGACTATGCTACCCAGAAATACCTTGCTACATCACTTCCCCCTCATTTCTCATACATAAATGTTCTAGTTATTGTCAAAGCGAAGTCTCAACATGCTCAAAACATTCTTGCTATATATATACATATCTTTATACAGAAGATGCTTGGCCTGTGACAAACCACTATCAAGACTTTGGCATCAACAACTAAAGTCCTTCCTAATCAGGCATATAAAAGAAACTGTATCGACAATGAGCGAACCACAGACATTTGACAAATTTGCACACAAAGTATAAATCTTATTTCGCATGAAGATGATAAACAGTGATAACTGTGACTTGTATGACACGGGGTCTATTTCCTCCACAACCCAGTAACCAGCAGAGTTAACTGTGCACACAGGCCAGCAGTGGTATGAGGAAACTACAACTGGCCAACACTTCTATCATCAGATACCAGTCTGAAACCAGTCTGAAACAGGGAGATATCTTCCCTACAAGACACACTGGTGGCAATCATCTTTAATATTAGTACTAGTTAAACCTGACAAGAACAACCTCCTGTACATATTTGAAACCAGAAGAAATCCTAGCAGAGCAGACCCATGTTTTATAACTGCTACATAATGCTACATTGTGAAACGAATCTCATGCTAACTTAAAGAATGGCTGGGTCCTTGAAAAATTAAACACATGTCTGCCATAGCGTTAAGAATGAAAGACGACAAGAAGTTACCATGCCACAGTTTAACATATTCCAGTGAGCTTCATGTCACAGTTGTTCATCTGAAGCCATTACTGCTGTGTATGTAAGAGGCATGGCTACAGGTTGAGACTCTTGTTGACCTGTACTATAACATGAATCTGGGATAAAAGCTCATTTCCACTCAATATTTACACCCTCAGAGAAACCCTTGTTTGGTTTACAAGGAAGACTAAGTAATCATTTGTGACACTTTCATAGAGACTGTTTTAAAAATACTTCACACACCTCTTGACCGTCAATTATTCACAACCAAAACCGACACAAATGGATGGCACTGTAAGCTTCTCAAGATAAATTATGAAAAGAAAGAGTCAGAAATTCTATTACATGAAATGGAAGTGTGACCTAGCTGCTATGGATTAGTCATTTTGACAAGTATAGATCTTTGGAGAAATTATGATAAACTGGTGGCGAGGCCTTTCAGAAGTTGAGCAAGAGTACTCATATCGTAAAGAAAATACTTAACTGTACTATGCAAATATATTACAACTGCATGCTTGTTTCAATGGAACCATTGATACAAGATTATTTTCTGTTTTAGTGAAATCCAGATTTTAGACTGACTGACTGACTTAGTTTTACACCGCTTTTAGCAATATTCCAGCAACATCACGGCGGGGGACACCAGAAATGGGCTTCACACATTGTACCCATGTGGGGATTCGAACCCGGGTCTTCGGCGTGACGAGCCAACGCTTTAACCACTAGGCTACCCCACAGCCCCTCCACATTTTAGAAATGCTGACAAGGCCTTATGTAATGATGTGTGTCTGATACATGCTACTGATGTAATGAGAAGATACATTGATAAACATTTAGACAGAAACATCCCACTCTGAGACATTCATGTGTATATGATTGATGCTAGAGATGAATAACATTGCTTAAAGTGATTGAGACACAACTATGAATTGATGCACAACCAAGAATTAACTTGCATGAAGTTCATGCTTTTGCAGTTCATGCTGGACCCCCAAATAATATTTGGCTTATCTTTCAAGTACTTTAGACATATGCACATGAAAGTATGTCATTTTTTCAGCCTAAAAAACACATAACCATACTAACTACAACATATGAATCTGGGTATACAAACTTCATCAAATGAAAACTGAGACAGAAAAAATCTTTGTCACCTAAAAAAAATGCTTTTGCAACTTAAGGCCAGTCCAATTTTATTTCTTGTTTTACGGATCCACGGGTCGTATTTCTTAAGGATAAGAAAAAAAATGGGAATTAATTTTCCCCGCTCAAAATATAAAATCCTTATGTTTTTATTGGCCAAAAATGTAAACTTACAAGAAATTCTTTTTTGATTGTTTTTTGCCCCATAAACACTTCATACATTGCCAGAAGCAAAAATACTTTTAATATTTAGAAGGAATTTTTCTTTGACTGGTGATTTTATTATTATTTTTTTCCCCTCCTGCCTTTAGGTTTTCTGAGGACAAAATCTGTAAAACAAGAAATAAAATTGGTCTGGTTTAACCTTATAACAAATTTCTCTACAGGTTGTAATATGGAAGGAACAGTAAGTATGGTTCCTATGTATTTCTGCTTCCCTATGTCTACGTAATGCTGAGCAACACTAAAGCTGCCCATAGGCAACATGTACAGTATGGTATGGACTCAGAGAGTGAAGTACTCTTATTTACATCACATCCCATTCTGCTGGGTGTGTGCCATTAAAAAAAACACAACTCAAAATTATACCTGTGCCATAAATTGGAAAAAATACTTTCTTTATCCAATAGTTTTGTACCCAAAAGAAGGCATCTTTAATACCATATTCATACAATGGAGACAAGCTAGTGTCTCTCTTACTTGGTACTATTAATTCTGAGAATCTTCAAGAAAGAATGAACTTTAAACAGATTATTCTCTCCGAACATGCCAAATGTATATGTAGGTTATTTCATGCTTCTCTCTCAATGCTTCTTTTCATGAAAATCACATGGCTATCATCAACATTATAACATTAAAAGACTGACATTTAAAAATAATATGAATGCATTTCAATAATGTCAACCATTTGCTGCCTTATCATGTAAAGAGAAGCGTATACCAAATTGATGTCTTGATGAAACTTTAGCCTCGACTATCCATGGCGTTCTGATACTAAATACACCTTCAAGAGCAAGTTAATAACATTTGTAAATTAAAAATGGAATATGAGCACTTCATAATTTTCTCAATAAAAAAGCTTCAAATGAAGTATTTATGAAGTGACATGATTCTGATGTTGAAGTGGTTGGATGGATGGATTTAACATGTGCAGAGGTCTAGAGCTGTGCTAATTATGTACACATGTAAGCTGTGAGAATTCTCGAGGCAATTTACACTACAAAAGCCTACATAATGGACGTCTACATCTATGTCGTTCCCAGAGGCACACCATTCCAGTCATTCAAAGCTTTCGGTTCATCAAGAAATACTACATTCACAAAGCATAACATCGTGCACATTAATCACACATGAATGAAGATAACAAATAAACATCTTCCAGCATTTCATATTTTGTTCTGTAAATAACATTTGTTCCCCTTTTGTGGTAGCTCTACCACTCCCTATCATGGTAATGGATACACGATGTAACATTCTTGAGCAAAACGGGACAAAGCAGCATATGAACAAAATTCTACACTTTTACAAACATAAAAAACATCCATCAATATATCAACAGGCATGTATGGTCTTTAGTAGATGAACACTGAAGTTTGTGATGCCTGTAAAACGTCCACCTGTAAAACATCCCCTGTACAACCCCGCCAGAATCTGTAGAATACATGCAGAGCAAATTGCAATTAAGTCCCCAGTGAGATCCTAAGTTGGATGTTCATTAGGATCGCACATCCAGTGAATGCTTCTCGTGGCGCCGCATGATGTCGTCTTCATTGTACACTGTTTCAGCCATTTGCCACACTGACCCATAGCTCTGGGCTTTGGAGTTGATACACATGGTCATCTGGTTTGTCTCGAGACTAGCATCACACTCTATTGGGTGGAAAGCATGTGTCATTCCTGGGTCTATAGAGCGAAACACTGTGATATTGCTTTCAATGAATTTAGTGTAGAGGTCCACATCCTCTTTCCCCCAGCCCTCTATGCTGAGATCGAAGCCCCCTACTGACAGCATGTCACTGCGATACATGGCAGCAATGCCGAAGCCAAACTGTCTCCAGTAGCCTGTGTCATGATGGAAGTCATATGGCTTGATCAAACAGTTGTTGGGGCTGGGGCACGCACAGTGCTGACTGTCGTCCTGGCACACTGTCGTTGGGTCGAACTGGCTGAACACAATGGGGAAGTACACTTGGAAGCCTTGTTTAGTGTTCAGGCGAATTCGATTCAGGGCATCTTTCCTCAGAACAATATCCACATCTATGAAATACAACAATGCATCACTTTTGCATTTTGAAGCTCCCAACTCCAATCCCCTACCACGATTGAAAGCACCGTTTGCTTGTATGATCTCAATGTTATTGCCACCGTAATTCCTCTGATACTTCTGAAGCAGATCAATGCTCCGCTCCAAAGCCATGTCTTCCTTTTCACTGTTGAACAACACCACATGAAGACGCACATTTTCACCAGATTTAAAACACACATCCTCAATGTTTCGCATAAAGCGCTGAAATATTTTTAATCGTCCAGCAAGAGGCATTATAAAATGAATTGTTTCTTTTCTTTTGTCTAAAGCTTTCTGATCATCTGATCCACCAGCTATTTGCCTGAACAAGTTTATCACTTGCCCCCCAACACTTGGCCTCGGATGATATTTGGGAATCTCCTCAGTGAACAAAACATTCATAAAGGATTGCTGCAAATAAGCATGGCGACGCACAGGCACTGTCATTTTGCGGCCTTTGTGTTTGCGATATATGAGCAATAAGTCAAGAATGTAATCTGCCCCAAATAAAGGGTTAGTCCTCCTATAACCATACAGAATTTCTTTAAAATCTATAGTCCTCCCCCTCTGACGGGCGTTTTTATTCACTAACTGCATGACTTGCATGACAACATCATCCAAAGCCCCGGACAAGGATGCCTCCATTCCCCGCTTTGGATTCAAATGATTATGAGAATATATAGGCTTTTTCAAAAAGTCCCAAGTGAGCACCTCCTCCTCTGATTTTGGTGGGTATTTATTGAGCGAGGGCAAGATGCCCAGCTTGTTGTCCACGATGTTGGACTTCTGTAGTCCAAGCAGCTGCTCCATCATGGTCACCTCCCGGACGAGCCGCAGCTCCTTCTGATGCAGGTTCATGATGATGGTGGACTGGATATGGTTGTAGATACGGTACTGATACACTGGGTCCTTCACTGGGTGCAGGGTCACAGCCTTCTCAACCTCCTTGCTCTTCAGTGTCTTTTTGAACGATCCTTTGTCCTCTTTGTAGTTCTGGTATAGAATTTGTTGCATCTGAAACAAATGAAATTGGTTCATGTATACATAGCTGAACAGAAATACTGAAAGCCATTAATCTAAAATAGAAGACTAAAATTCCACTTTGAACAGCAAAGCATGCATCAGGATTTAAAACAACAACCAGCCTAAACCTCTTCACCATCTCTAACTACTGGGGTTCCTACAGTGTTTAAGTAAATAAGATATATCAAACAGCAGTTGTAAACATGTCTAGATTCACCTATTTTCAGTGCTGCATGTCGCCATATTCTAACAAATATTGGTGAATGGAGATGTAAGCTATTCTGCAGTCAAGCCTGTAAATCAGGTTCTTGTGACTTTGCATTGTATCGAATATCCGAGGCTTGGACTTCGCTGTGACCAGAACAATGAACACTTGACCTTGGGTCAGTCACTGAGGATAATCTGGCCTGTATGACAACAACTGTAGTCTGGTAAACACAAACCGTTGGACTGTTCAACAGTGGTTGGACATAAGTCTTGCTTCTTCATGACCAGGTATGCAACAAGTGAACATTGTGACAGAGCAACTCTTGCAGCAGGGAACATCCATCATAGGGAAAAATACTTTGGTTTCAGACACTAGGTATGTGGAGAGAAGAAATTGTCTCAAAACCATGGACCACCCTTTGCAATATGTGAGGAGGAGCAGAGCAGGAAAAGGGTTGTCTTCAAGCATATCTAAACAGGCCCTAACCAAATGCATTGGAAGTTGAAATAAACTTTTAGTCGAGGATAACCAAAAGCAGCTGAATTTCAAACTGCAATCAATATGTTGTGCAAGAGATGCTTACACACACGTACAGTGGTATACACGCAGAATTACTAAGCATGACTGAGTGAAATCAAAGTCCTATCTAAACATTTGATATTACGGTGAATGATGAGATGTAGATGATGGGAGCTGTATGAATGTTTTATTTGATGGTGTTGACAACATATCTTTCCCCTATCTTCAGAATTCACTTCAAGTTGTACAAGTCCATAACCACTAACTGAAGTCATTGACAAATTTCAATGAAGAAAAAATTCTCATTAAGAAAACAAAACATCTTCAGTATGTAAAATTTCCCTTGAAACCCCATGCTGTATCTACTGACACTGTATCCATAACATGTGAAACTGATCAGTTCTTCCCGTTTGTTTAAGGCTGTTAGCTACAGCTACACCAAGTATTGCTGACTGGGGACCTGTCTGTTGCATTTCTTTCCGAGCAATCACTCCAACAAAGCTGGCAATGTTTTCATTACAACCCTTGCCTCCTCACTTGACCTATGTTGGAAGGAATCCATGCCATAAGTTGTCTTGTGCCTACATGTGCTGTGTACAAAGGTTAGATGTCTTACACGTGGACACTGTATACAGGATCTCCACCATTCACCCACTTTCTTCCCCTGGGTCCAGATCCATAAAGCGTTTGTAGTGTAAAGAGCTACTGTACTATAGCATTTATCATAGGCTTACATATGACAGAGCGCAACAAACTGTGGATCAGGCCAGTGGTTACCATGCAAGTACTACCACACTTGTGTGTATCAAACTTAGGAATGATATCATGTCTTATGTAAATTGATGTAAAATACCAAAACTAATCATAGCCTAACACAACAACATGAATACTACTGAAAACAGTTTGTATACCCACTAGCTATGACAGGCAAACTGTAGACATGAAAAATTGGGTGCCTCTGAATAATATACATATGCAAAAAGCTTTTTCCGGTCTGTACATAATTCTTGCTAAAATCTTAAATATCTCATTAGGGCCAGTCAGTCTGTATAGAAGTACATCATTTATTAGAAAGATCACCCAGTTGAGTTAAAATACAATTCTTCATGATTTTGTTATCCGACACTATTTTCTCAAAGCCAACCATAACATGTCCAGTGCTGAATTCCTGGCCTAATGAGGAGCAGTCCAGCCCTTTAAATGTTGGGATAAGCAAAACTTGTGTAGAACTGTGTCCACTCAAGTCAACAATGCTGGCAAATGTGCAGCACATTGACGTCTGCTGGAAACACTTGGCCGTCTGCTCCTGGCCTACATCTCGGTGACTGAGGCACGGTACAATCCTGGCGATGTGATAGAAAACAGTAAAGAGAGCCCTAAAACTGGAGTGGGAGGCAAGTGACAAAGAATGCCTTTACTATTACATGGAAGCACATGGCCAACCCTTGCACTATCCACATGTGTGATCCACCTTCTGTTTGGCCTGGCCATTTGCTGCTTCCCTTCCACACAAACAGGATGGCCTACTTCAGACCCCTGCTGACAAGATGACCAACTACAGAACTGCACAGCTTAGAAGTCTCAAAGATAAATGGCAGATTCACCATGCCAGAGTATACTTATCTTCTCTGATGGAGTTAACAATACAACACTAGAAACACTGCCTTCAACACCTTCCATATATGGAACACATGGCATACAGAGCATTTCATCAGACATCCTCAAGCATTCAACACAAGTCTGTTTCTCCATACAAGTAACATTAGCTGCTACAATAGTCCTCACAGTCCTTGTACCATTTTATTTCCCCTTCCACCCAGCCCTTACAGTAATGTTAAAGCCATAGATGAAGTACTTCCAGATATAAAACTCCCTTCCCACTGTAGCTCCTTTTCAATTTAAATGTAGCTGCTTGTTGCATTAGTCTGCTACTTTTGTTGTTAAATACCTCACTCAGCAATTTTCTGGCTAATAATAATCAAATCTGGACCAGACAATCCAGTGATTTGACATCATGAGCATTGATCCCTACAAGTAGGATACAATGATGTGTCAACCAAGTCAGCAAGCCTGACCACCTGATCCTGATAGTCACCTCTTACAGCAAGCTTCGGTTGCTGAAGACCAATGCTACCCCTGTGAGTGAATGAGTTTTATGACACTTTTAGCAATATTCCAGCAATATCACGTCAGTGGACACCAGAAATGGGCTTCACACATTGTACCCATACAGGGAATCGAACCCGGGTCTTCAACATGACAAGCGAACGCTTTAACCACAAGGCTACCCCACCACTCCAATTCTAACCTGGAGGTTCACAAGAGCATTAGTCAGCTGTTTGACAGACACATCTCATACCACTTCCTTGTTATTCAACATTGTACAACACAGCCTTTGCTGTATATCCTGACATCAATCCAATCAGCAACCACCAAACACAGAGACTTATGATCACATATATCATACACCTGATAAGGCATCAGATTTATCTTTATAATACATGTACTGATAATGTTTTCAACCTTAAACACTGAGAGACAACCTGTCGAATCATGAATGGTTCCACATGTTAGGTAATAACTTATCGCATGAGAACATCACAAAACAAGCTCTTGATCATAATGTGCAACCTTCTAATACGGTGCATATTAGAACATCGTTCATAGCTTGACACAGGCCCTCTGTCTGCAAACTTAAAGAATATTCTTTTCACATTTTACACATTTTGGAGAGTTAGGGGTATTTCTTCCTCACCAAATGTGTATGTATCATTTTGCTTATCTCAACATGAAAGGCGTTAGACTTATGGCAAGCATAGACTTCTGCAACAAGGAAAACATAAAATTTCATTTCAATTTCTTCTGGGTCGGCCACTGCCCCTAAAACAATTATTTAGAGTTTACTAGAAAATTATGGAAGTAATGGAAAGTTCATATCATGGACATGTGCTTTTAATGTGATTACTTCAAAAGATTACTCACTTATTGCAGTGTTTGGAGATTGTTAAACTTACTTGATAGATAGGTTTTCCATCCGGTCTTAATTAGGGAACACTATTTCTTTAATGATTTCAAGGTTTTCTTGAGCTTAGCACACATGTTCCCTGATAAATACAGCTGTGTAGAGAGGGAGGTGCAGAATACATGCACACAATGAGTTTTGATGAGAACAAGGACCAAAGAAAATATCATGTCAGCGAATCTGTACTGAAGTATGCAAGTTACTCCTGTTATTATACTATCTGGTTAGAGAGAGGGAGTGAGTGAGTTTAGTTTTACACCGCACTCAGCAATATTCCAGCTATATGGAGGCGGTCTGTAAATAATCGACAATCCAGTGATCAACAGCTTGAGCATCTATCTACTTATCTGGTTAGAATGAGTTAGTGAGTGAGTGAGTATGGTTTTACGGTGCTTTTAGCAATATTCCAGCAAAATGGGGTGGGGGAGAGAGAGAGAGAGAGAGAGAGAGAGAGAGGTGAAGACACACCAGAAATAGGCTTCACATATTGTACCCATGTAGGGTGTTGAACCCGGGCCTTCGGCGTGATGAGCGAACACTTTAGTAAACCTATACTTAACAGAGTTGATACCAGGTTGTTGCTAAGAGTGGTGTAAACCTATACTCATAGGTTTACTCATTCTTAGCAATATTCCAGCAATATCACAGAGGGGGACGTTGGATATAGGCTTCACACATTGTACCGATGTGGAAAATCAGACCCGTGTCTTTGGCGAGACCAACAAACGCTTTGATCACTAGGCTCACTCCCTCACTATTACATAATGTTTTTGTGTTTTAAACTGCAACCCTTAAACGGTGACACCGGAAATGTTTCTTCAATAACATATATCCAGCAATAAAACACTATGCTTTTCTTTAAAACTGTTTTACATGCTAGTATATAGAATATAAGCTACAACTGAAATAACAAGTGACTAGAATATATCATGCCTGTTAAAACAAGCTTCAGATACAAATTCTTCGGATGACTGCCTCACAATATTTTGTCAGTTAAATGTCTATATAGATCCAAGTACACATGGTAAACTTAACTTCCGAACATAACACAATGAAGTACAAGTGGAACTGCAAATTATCATCTCTAGTGATGCTTCACTGCAAATTTCACAATCTCACTTACAAAAGTTGCTACCTCTTGTCTGTTCTCCTAAACAATGTATGTTTTTGACAGCACACAACATACAAACAGGAACTCAAAACTTGAACCCTACAATAGGGGTGGCTGACTATTAACAAAAA